ATTCTTTCCTCCACTCTCTGCAAACCCATTGTTTTCCATCACCTAGTGAAATCACGTTGGCTTTTTCCTTCATCCCAACTGCTCACATTGTAGGTTTTATCCCCTTGCAATACATGCTCCATGATTGGAATAGCAAGTCAGTGCAACTATAGATTTCTTAATGCATCTCCAACACATTTAGAGGCAACACACAACTGAAAACAAAATTCAACAAAGAAGGCCCCGCTGGGATTCGAACCCAGGATCTCCTGTTTACTAGACAGGCGCTTTGACCAGCTAAGCCACAGGGCCCTCTTGGAAGATGCTCACTTACATCATATTTATAACTTTTCTGTGAACTGTAGTAATTTCCCAGAAACGTATTTAATTTTGTAATAAAGGAAATATGTGTGTTTCTGAACCCTTACGGAAGCAGAAACTCCAACATTAAAAAAAGAAAGAAGGAAAAAAGGCATTCTTAAGTTTTTAAAATGATTTCAAAGGGAACTGAATAAATCTTATTTCATGGTGACTATCGCCTCCCAGAGGAAATATTGTATATTGCAACATATTTTACATTTTTAATTCATTTTGTCCACAAACGTTGAACCACTATTGTTTGTCAGTACTTCTCTAGGTGTTGAAGACAAGACAGTGAATAAAACCGACAAAATGCCTTCCCTTATAGGATTTATATTCTAAAGGGAGACAAATAAAGTGAGATTTAAAAAATTTGCCCATTACTGCCCAGTTAGAGAACACACCCAATTGCTCTCTGAGCTAATTCACCGCACTCAAGCATGACTATTAGGCTTCCTTCTGTTTTATGTCACCTGGCAGAAGAAAGTAAGCCTAGATGAGGATACGCTGAGGCAGATGAGATGAGCAATCAACCCTCTCTGCTTGCCCAAATCAGGAACCAACAGGATCTTTCAAAGACAGCGTTGGTCCCTAAAACAGGAGATCAGTTGCTGAAGCCTGAAGTTCCACAGGGTAGAAAGCTTTGCTTTTGTCACAGTTTTGTTCTGTTCATTGGCCTGTTGGGTTAAAACAGGATTGATTCCTGTCCTTGCAGATTGTAAAACCGAGTGGAAGATACAAAGTAGTAAAGAGAATTCTAGGGTGCATTGTGACTGGTAAGCCCTCACAAGGTGCAGTGTGGGCCTCTACCCTGGGCATGGCAGAGAGAGTGTCCTCGTAGGGTCCCACCCCTTCCCCATTAGGTGATGGCAGCCTCTGTAAAGCCCATGGAAGTCTCGATTCAGTGTTCAACGCGGTGTGTGAAAGGGATTGTGGCATGTTTGACTGAATACAGGTTAGCGTGGGAAGGACAGATGAGATCAACATTCTGAAATATTTCAATAACTGCTTTGTGCTGTGTGAAGAAAGATGAGGACATAGGCAGTCACTGATCACGTCCTACGTGCAAGGTCCTGGAGGGATGAGAAATCCCTTACCAGCTCTTGTGCTATCACAAGATTCTCCATGGATCTGGTTTCCCAGCTCTCTTCTCCCAGTCTAGCCTGT